GTCAAAAAGAAACACTCATGTACATGCAATTGTGCCTAATAATGAGCACAACAGCAAAATGGTCATTTACTCAGATTATTCAGTCCAAAGAAGAAAGCCTTTATGCAAATCTTTGCCCTTATTATGTTCCATTAAGTCAAAAAGAAACATCAACAAGAAAATTATGTAAAGGACTTAAGAAAACTACTTACAGCCAACTTGTCATGCTACACAGCCACTTATCAGGTAGATTCTCAGGCTCAATACCAATTGGCAAAAGGCGCCACTTCTCACAACGATCACATCCTACCCAATTGTCTGAAGGAGCTGCTGCTGGAGCAACTTGTATTGCTGACTCAGCAGGAAGTCCATTGACTGGAATGTGTCTTTCTTCTTGTCTTTGGGTATTATCGTCATTTACCCTCATGTCAAGTATATCTTTATAGCTATTACGTACCTTCACAATATCCTTTTGGGCACTCTTATTATCTTTCATTGCTCCAGTTTGAATGCTACCCATTAACTTACTTTTTCTTTCCAATGGCAATTTGGTAATAGAATGAGTTGGTTTGACTTCATGTGGTTCACGGGTCATAGCCTTAAGACCAACTTTCTTTTCGACATTTTTCTCACCAGGGTCGTTTTTACAAACTGAATTGACTATTTTACCCTTGGTCCTGTCACTTCCCTTTGTATCAAGTGAAAACTTTTTGGTTTTGGTTTTGGTTTTGGTTTTGGTTTCCTCACTTGAACTATGAATGACATCATGATCCTGGCCACATGCTGAATCAGACTCCTTACAATCAGAGCCAAAGAACCGATCTTTGAACCATTCTTTGTTTGTTTCCCTTTTCTTTACAGGTACATCTTTCGTAGCTGCTCCATTTTCTTTACAAAGTAAAGATTTGGATGACAGATTCACTTTTAAATCAGTTGTTGAACACTGTTTACTGTTAAAAGATTCTTTCCCTGAAAATGGAGCCTTCTCAGCCTCAAAGCCTCTACTTTCATTGTATTTCATTCCATTCATTTCACTTTTGTCTTGTGAACTTACTTCCTTACCTTCCATTGGCTTCCCTTCTACAAGGATAGAAGATGAATCATCCACAAAACTAGACAAGCATATTTTTCTACCTATAACAGGAGGCTTAGGCTTATTTTCAACTTTTTTCAAACAAAGAAGGCTCTCATTTAGTGGTGAGAGCAGCCGGTTTCCAGGAACAATGACAGAAGTCATATCCTACCAACAAAAAGAAAAAAAAAATAAGGAAATATAAACATAAGAAATAACAAAATTACAAAAAGTAGGAGAAACTTACACGTAGTATTGTGTCAGGAGAATCAAGAGGGATATGATGAGATTCAGTTAATGGGCAATCACTATCCTCATGATCATGATGATCATTGCCCATTGATGAAGATGGAGAAGAGAGACCCAAACCACTATAAATTGCAGCATTCTTTCTTGCAGATTTATCAGAACTTACTTTAATTCGTACCTTTAATGACCTTTGTTCACTTGGATTTGCTGAATTACTTGTAGTGGTTTCATTTTTAGAAACATGAAATGAAGAGGTAGCAGGTGGTCTAACAGCCAGGACAGGTTTTGTGGGTATGATTGCATTCACAGGAGCACTCTGAATGGATTGAATAACAAAAGTACAAAACCCACAAATGTTAAGTGAAAATAATTTTTTTATCGATCAATATAATGAGCAAATAGAATCCCATCTACCTCCAAACACGATTTGTTGAAATTTTGAACTGTTTGAGGTGTCTTGATATGAGAATGGACAGTTGGAACCTGTTTGTGTGAGGGTAAAAACGACCCATACCCACCAAATTTTGGCCCTGTCAAGAAATTTGTTATAGAGTTGTCCCATCATTTTTCAGATAGGATAAGAAAGCAGTTATGCTCTTCTTTTGGGTAGAAAAGTTGTATTATCGGCTTCTTACCCAATATTTCTGCAGACATCCCACCTTCAAAATCTTTCTGAAAATGACCCAGCACATTTTGCAGCCTTTGATCCTAGAAGAAGTAGAATTTTAAATGTTACTAGTGATAAGTATCAAAAGTTGATTAATCATGGTGAGCATACAACAGTTGCACATACAAGTTTATACAGAATTAAAGATCAAGATAAGTATCATACATAAGGCGAGACCTTGTAATTTTGAATTAATAGAGTAAAGTGTCACACAAACAAGATTCAATTCATAAGAAATTCCCAAGTGAGTGAAATTCATCTTCAGAGAAGTGGAATAAGATTCAGAGTAAAATGCACCATCAAGAACAGGCAACAGAACTATAGAAGTCAAATTATTGGGTAATGATATACAAGTACATTTGGAAAAAAACTATCCACATTCCACAACTTCCATTTAGTTCAAGTTCAAATAAATGTTACTTTTTACATTTTCTCATTGGTTATATTCAGTTCTCAGAGTCAAAATTTCTGCAGGAATTGAAGAATGGCACAAAGTGGTTACTCTTTAGAACACTCAATTCCAAGAACTACTAACAAACAGAAATCCAATCAACAAAACTTCATTTCCATTGGTTTTCTTTCAATTGGGGCCTAGCAAACCAGTCTGATAAATCCCCAAAATGACAGAAAGAAAAGGAATTTCACTCAATTGATCATCCATCATTTACTGCTTAGTCCATTAATCACGACAAAGTACCTATTAAAGTTTCTATTCCAATAATATATTAGCAATTAATTAGATTGGTGATGCAAAAAATTTAGAATTTTATAGACCCAACACAAGAAAAAAACTCTTACAATGTAAGAGAGAGCTGTATCAGGGTCAATGATTGCGTCATTGTCGTCAAAACAAGCCTCTCCTTCTTCAAGCTCAGTCTCTTCCATCTCTTCTCGATAACCCTAACCCTAACCCTAACCCTAATTTCCCCCAAAAACCCTAACGATGATCCTAAAGTCCAACATAATTGATCACACAACACACATTACTACAAATTACTTTGAAAGTGCAAATTAGACCAAACGAACAAGTTTAAAAACTAGAAAAACCACAACGGAATTTCTCTCAAACTGATCACAAACCCTCAAAGAACCCTTTTTTTGATCAAAACAACAAGAACACAAAGAACAATTTACGTATATGTATATGTGACGTATATATAAGCGCGAAATCCAATCCCCTTTTTAGGAGCAGTGTTCGACGAACAACCCAGAAAAGAGATGAATCAATATGCGCAATCGATCGAAATTTTGATTTTTTTGATTCCGGAAATTGATTTTCGTTTTTATTACATTTGAGATGATACAGAGTGAAAAGAGGGGGAGGGTGTTTTGTGGTTTTCATATATTTTCTATTTCTTTTTGGGCTTTTCTTTTAATTTCCCTTCGTGAATTCTATTTGGGCCAAATTCACAAGATTCTAAACACATGATGCGTTATATATTCGTATATATAATATAATTTTATAAAAAAGGATGACAATTAAATATCTAATTGTCATTTTAGCAAACACAAAAACAAATTTTATTAAGTAAATAATAGCTATTTATATCACGTAATTATTACTTATAAAGTGATAAGATCCATGTGTCATATATTTCTTTATATTTTTCGAAACATTAGGATTTACCTTTTTATATTGGTCACTATTAATAGTTATGTTTTATGTTTTCTAATGATAAATAAAAATAAATATGGATCCAAACTTATTTAATAAGAGAATGTTCTAATGTTTTGGCTACAAGACATCGCACATGCAATCCCAACTTGAAAGCAATTTGCATGCATGTAAATTAAAGGTAAATGTCATCTTAAACGTTTAAGTCAATCCATCCTATAATACATAAGGCATACATAACATATGAAATATCACAACAAATAAAATTACTAACCTTTTATGGAAAAATATATTGTAACAGAAGACAATTGCAAATGAAGTACACACAATTACATCAAACGAAGTTCACACAATTACATCGTGACAATTCAAAATTATACCTTCCATGATCAACTTTCCTTCTTGGTATCATGATTTTAAACAACTCGAATCGGTTTGTTAGTGTATAGTAATATAACTGTCGTTTAATTCCACATAACCATGTCTTGAACCAAGGGCAGAACCAGGGGATTTTATGGGTAACCGGTGCTACCTTTTCAATTTTCAGGCGTTAAAAAAATTGGAAAATTTTCGGCGTGTTACCCCTAAATTTATGTGTGCCGGTGTGGTACTTCTTAGACTTTTTCCTAGTTCTGTCACTATCTTAAACTTATTTGGTTTTACATATACCGTTCATAAATACCATTTATAACCCTTGATTTTGCATAAAAAGTGAATACACAATAATTGCATTCCTAAGCACGATTAAACTTGCAACAAATAAGTTGGATAGAAGGGCAAGACATCAACGCAAAATAATTACAATCATATGTCATAATGATATCCGTACGTATAACTAAAAATAACCATTGCACTAGACATTATGATATCTAAGCATTTTTTCATACTCTTATAACATTATATAATAGTTGGTATCTTCTCTCTCGTTTTTATCAATCATCCTTTATAAAATTAGTTAGGTTAGTGGATACCTAATAATAACTAGTCGTATACTCATCCGATGGATGGATTGACCGATGTAAAAACGACTTTTGTATACTTGACAAAAGAAAATTGTGGGAACCTAATTTCAATCCAAAAGAATATTAAATGTAAACCAGTATCAACATAAATTCATTTAAATAAACACGATACTCGAAAATGAATGCAAGATCCAAAACATGAAAAGACATTAGAATGATGGACTAATTTTACTTTCTTTTATAACATCCTACTTTCATTTATTCCAATAATAGTGTTTTACTTTCTTTTATAGTATTATACTTTCATTTGTTCCCATAATAGCATTGTGCTATGACAAATCTACCCGATTGTTGTTATATCATTCACATAAAGTTGGTGTTTTTTTTGTAGAAAATGCATTGAGAGCAACGTATATTCGTTTCATGATTTGTTGATTATATAAGTACCACAATTAATCGGAAGTACCTTATTTTCTTTTTTCGATTTCAGATTTAACTCAAGTAAAGAAATACCAACATATTGTATACTCGATAATTGCTATTTATTTATATCTATATATCTATATATCTATATCTATATCATATCATATCATATCATCATATCATATCATATCATCATATCATATCATATCATATCATATCATACTGTATTATAAATGAAGCATTTTTCCTTTCACCACATTTATTTGAAACTCCCATGCATTTTTTCTTTCACCACATTCATTTGAAACTCTCATGATTTTTCAATTTCTTTCTAATAATAATTATAAGTTGGTTAACAAAGTTAAATAAATATCAAATCTAAAGTGTAATCATATATAAACTAAATCTCAATATTAAAATAATATATTTACTTATTTTTTTAACTTTTAATATATTATACTTAATTTATTAGTTTTAATATAGTATCGGATGTAAACCATTATCATTTTAAAGATAAAACTTTGGAACAATTTGTATAATATACTTAAATTATTAATTTAAAGATAACATTACAGGGTCAAGTTAAATATAAATTTTAGTTTAACTTAAGCAACTCAAAAAATATTTTTGTAAATAGTTAAAAGTGATAAGTTGTAGTATCTTTCTAATAATGATTATAAGTTGGTTAATAAAGTTAAATAAATATTAAACCTAAAATGTAATCATAAATAAACTAAATTTAATTTTAAAATAATATCTTTACTTCTACTTATAAAGTTATGTCTTTAACTTTTAATATAGGGTTTAGGTCATTTTTGGTCACTTAACTTTTGGTTTTGTGCTCATTTGGTCAACACTTTTTAAGTTTTAAAAGGTCATCAAACTATTGGTTTTGTGCTCATTTAGTCACTTAACTTTTGGTTTGGTCACATTTAGTCACCTAACTTTTAAAATTATGCTCATTTAGTCACTAAACTTTTAAATTTTTTCAAAAGTTTAGTGACTAAATGAGCATAATTTTAAAAGTTAGGTGACTAAATCAGCACAAATCTAAAAGTTAAGTGACTAAGTGTGATCAAACCAAAAGTTAAGTGACCAAATGAGCACAAAGTCAAAAGTTTGATGACCTTTTAAAACTTAAAAAGAGTTAAGTAACCAAATGAGCACAAAACCAAAAGTTAAGTGACCAAAAATAACCTAAACCCTTTAATATATTATACTTAATTTATTAGATTTAAAATGTTATTGTATGTAACCATTATCAGTTTAAAGCTACAACTTTTGAACAGGTTGGACAAAATACTTAAATTATTATAAATATAACATTACAGTATCAACTTAAATATAAATTCCAGTTCGACTTAAAAAACCAAAGAATATTTTGTAAATAGTTAAAAGTGATAAATTGTGGTGATAAATGGCAAAACTAAATTATAATCTCAATTTAACTAAAATATTTTCTAGAAATATTTTTATAATCATTAAAAGTTTTAAAATAAATAGCTTAAAATAACTTACAATAATAATAGTTAAAAATAACTCTATATAAATGATTATATTGTTACCTTTAAAATAAAAAAACAATATTTGGTGTTTTAAAAAATTATAATGATAGAAATTAAAACATTAAGCAAATAAATTTTAAAAAATTAATTAATAATAACAACAACTATATATAACATTAAACCATATATTATATTTAATTGTATTCATTTGTAACTTGCTGGTAGAAGTCATTCAAACGATTAACTAAACTACAATATTAAAATCTCATATTATATTTCTATTTATAAAATTATGATTTTAATTTTTTAACATATTATAGTTAACTTATTAGTTTAAATATGTTGTCATATATGAACAATTATCATTTTAAAGTCACAATATTTGTATAGTTTATGAGTTGATGCAAAATAGTTAAATTATTAATTTCAATATAATATTAAACAATTAATTTAAATAAATTTCAGTTAAACTTGAAAAATCAATAGACTGTTTTATAAATAATTAAAGATTATATATATATATATATATATATATATATATATATATATATATATATATATATATAGTTTATATATATATATATATATATATATATAATATTATTTTTAACTATTCTTATTGTAACCTATTTATTTGAAAACTGTTAATGATTATAAAAACTAGTTTATTTATTTATTATTTTTTTTTTTGTTAATTTAGGATTACAATTTAATACTACTTTCTCTAAAAACAAAAACAATGTTTTTTTGTTTTAAATAACTACAATCATAGAAATTAACAATAATCATCAAATAAATTTTAAAAACATTAAATTTCTGAAAACCAAATTAAAATAATTAAGAGTTTCGAAATATGTTATTTTAAATAACTTACAACAATAATACTTAGGAGTAAAATTATATATAAAAATTATATTGTTGTCTTTAAAATAAAAACAATGTTTGATGTTTTAAATAATTACAATGATAGAATTTAAAATCCTAAGCAAATAAACTTTTTAAAATTAATTAATCATAACAACAACTATAAATATCATTAAATCATATATTATATTTAATTTTATTTATATGTCACCTGTAGATAGACGTCATTAATACACTTATGATTATACAATTTTAAAAGATATCTACATTATCATATAATTCAAAACAAACAATGTTTATACCAACTTATTATAAGATTTATTATATAAAAGTTAATAACAATGTCATTGATATATTTAAAAAATATATATTTGTAAAAATTTCAAATATATTATTATATTATGCGCAAGGCGCGTGTATTCTTCTAGTATACTTATAAAGGAAGCTTTTTTTTTTCTTTCACCACATTCATTTGAAACTCTCATGTATTTTTTCTTTCACTATATTCATTTGAAACTACCATGACTTTTCAATTTCTTTCTAATAATGATTATAAGTTGGTTAATAAGGTTAAATAAATATCAACCTAAAGTGTAATCATA